TTCATTGTATAATTGCCCTTGCTTCCAGTGAAATTTTTCTTAATGTCCAATTTAAATTGCTGCTTTTTTCTGTCTCAGGCCATTGCTCCCTATTACATTACCGTTAAGCACCTTAAGTGACTCCTCTCTCTTTTGAAAACGGTGAAATTGGCTTGTGCATTTCATCTGAAAATGTGGTCTCCTTCTTGTAGACAAAAATATTTAAACACTTGAAAATGACAGGTGATTGTCTTGTTTCTTAAAAAGAAAAAAAAAAACATGTTGTTTTCCTGCTTCTGTGTTTTTCATCAGTTTAGAAACAATTCATGGGACGGCTATAAGTGACCCAGATGTCATTATATGCTTGGTGTTTCTTCCAGTCACCCCATAACAGGATGGTACGCACATTCGTTTCTTCAAGGAAATGTGAATCCTATATGAGCTGAGGTATTTTATACAAAAGGGGGATGTTGTAAGTGCCCAGACAGAAGTCCTACTGACTTACTTGCTGGAGAACCCAGAAGAGTCAGCTGCAAATTCTACGCAAAGGAGTCGAATTACAAGAAGGGGGGTGTTTTATGATAGCATTACGGCAATGCAAACAGCAATGGTTTCCAAGCTATTAATACAATGAAAACTTCGGGGGTACAGAGAGAGCAATAAGGCCCTAAGTTGCCCCCATATTTAACCAGATCTGTTTTCTTGGGCCATTCTTATGGGGACGCTGCATCTTTTAGCAAGAAACATGATTCAGAACTTCAAATAAGCTGCCCTACTTTTTTTTTTGGCTGCTTTGGGTCTTTGTTGCGGCGAGTGGGGGCTACTCTTCATTGCAGTGCGCAGGCTTTTCATTGCAGTGGCTTTTCTTGTTGCAGAGCACGGGCTCTAGGCACGTGGGCTTCAGTAGTTGCAGCATGCGGGCCCTAGAGCACACAGGCTTCAGTAGTTGTGGCATGTGGGCTCAGTAGTTGTGGCGTGCAGGCTAAGTACTTGTGGCTTGTGGGATCTAGAGCGCAGGCTCAGTAGCTGTGGTGCACGGGCTTAGCTGCTCCGTGGCATGAGGGATCTTCCAGGACCAGGGATTGAACCCGTGTCCCCTGCATTGGCAGGCGGATTCTTAACCACTGTGCCACCAGGGAAGCCCTGTCCTACTTTTAATTCCAGAATCTCTATATTCTATGCCTCATCTTCTCCCCCGCACCTCTGCATGTCTCCCCCATCCTCTGTATATACCAGACACCAAAGGAGTGAAGTCTTGAACATTCAAAAAGCGACTCTTCCAACAGGATGCTGAATTGGTCTGACCAGTGCATCAGTGGCACACACATTATCATGAGTGCCTGCTCGGTTTGCTCCTTGACTGTCCATCGAATCCGGTTTCAGGACTCACCCCCTTCAGATTTACGTTTCCTCCTATTTGCTCAGTATCTGACCTCTTCCGTCTCCTTCTATGACAATACTGAGAGTAATATGGAATAAGGCAGTAAAACAAATCAAATAACGAACCCAAATTTCAAAGCATCCCCTGAGCTTCTGCAGTCAGGGAGCTGGTTATTATTGTCTGAGAGGAAGCAACCTCATGCCCAGTAGAAGAGTCGGTTCTCTGTTAGGACATCAATCAGAAAATGATTTTCCTCTTCAGAAGAATAGTATCAGATGCCTCTCACCCCCACTGTGTACACAATGCCAAGAGGAGCAGAGAACCCAGCTCCAAGAGTGAAAAGCTCTTGCCACTGGTGACACATAATAGTGGCAGATCTTTTGAGGGGGAGAAGACCAGCGGTTACAAAACTTCACAGAAGGCAAGTGATAAAGATTTGAATTTGAAATAAACACTACAGCTGAGAACTATTGGAAAACAGTGTCAAAGCCCTAAAGAGAACAACTTTCTCAGTAAGGAGGGTTTTGGACAGAATCGTATGGGAAGAAGCAAAGATTTCTGGTCTTGTGTAGAAGTGGCATCCAGCAATGTACAGAAAACAAAAAATGTTTTGTGAGTCAGAATGGATAAATGTCTCACCATTTTTTTTTTAAACAAGAGGGACTTACCCGATTTCATTGCATATTGGGTATTGGTACAGAATATGTCGTGATGGAGACTTGGCAGCCCTCCTGTGCTGTCTCCATGTTCTGTTCAGTCTCATTTGTTTTATCCTGATGGGTTATAGGAACTGTGCCTTGTGATGCAGCTTAAGACAGGGCACTTACATACAGAAGTTTCTGTCCAAGAGGGAAAAAGAAAATACATGCCGCTAAAGCTTTGCTGCACGTAAAATAGAATTGCTAAGAGTTAAGAGCTAGAACTGCTTTGTCCTTCCATCCTTTCTTGTGAAGCTGCTCTGGCTCAGAGGTACCCCACTTACTTTGTTATGGTGATTTACGACTTTATCTAAATCCTCCAACTATACTTATAATTAATGACATAAATCCATTTCCATAATGTTATATAACACACTATCTTATCCTACCCCACATCCTGGGGAACGATATTAAAACAATAAAATAATTATGGCTGAAATTCATCGGTATCCTAGTTAGCACATTTAGTTACAACTATCACAGGATAACCAAATGTATGATAAAACTTACAAGAATAAATCTATGGGCGTGAAATTTATTTGCACTTTTATTTTAAAATCTGCCACATAATTAGGATATAATGAAGTATGCGATAAAACTTTGCTGAATAAATGAATGCATAAGTCACTTGTGTTCTCTTTTACATTCACATGGAGGATCATTAGGGATGACTGTATATCTGCATATGTATGTATCTATATAAGTTTATAGACATATATGTAATATGTATTTTCAAAATGTGATTGTAATAAAATTTTAACTAATGTGAAAAAAACGGAATGTTCTCCTGAAGGTAAATTAAATTCTGGAAGTGCTTCACTAATAACAACTGTCTTTCTACACCAGCAGTCCCCGACCTTTTTGGCCCCAGGGACCAGTTTCGTGGAAGACAGTTTTTCCACGGATGTGGGTGTGGGGCTGGGGGGGATGGTCAGGCGGTAATGAGGGCAATGGGGAGCCTCCTGCTGTGTGGCCTGGGTTCCTAACAGGCTGCGGACCGGTAGGGTTGGGGACCCGCACTCTACACAACCACCTTGAATATTCAAATGTAAAAAAGACAGTAAGCATAACATGAGATTAGGAATAAGGTAATGCTGGATACAAATATTTCGTGAAAGTAAGGAAGATGCCTCAGCTTGGAAACAGTAACCGAAGGGATTTATGCAATAAAGTCAAATGTCTAAATATGAAAGAGTGTAACACATTTGGAGAAGAATGGCCAACAAGAAAGAAGGTCTGTCTTTATTCTTATTAGCATGACGTATGTTTCAAATCCATGGGAAAGAAGTCTCAATAATTCTAAGAATCATTAAAGAAATGCTCAAAATTTCTCAGAATTGTATGAAAAGAAAATAAACATTCAGACTCATATTTGGATCCTTGAGTTTGGGATCACTGCCAAGATCAGAGGGCTACATGGGGAATATATTTAAAAATGAATCTATATTGGTCAGCCCCCTCCTTCTATTAGGGGAAGATATTAATTAGGCAAACACATAGCTTCTTCTCAGAGCAGCTCTTGGTTTAAAAGCTACTCAGCCTATTGGTTTAATGGCTCAATTAAAAAAAATGCAACATCCTCTTTTTATAACGTTTTTCATAGGGTTTTACTTATTATGAAGAAATCAGTAGACTGAGATTTGGGGAAATGGGACAGACTTTTCACAAGGAATAAAACTAATGATAGTATGTGTAAAAAATCCCCTTTAAAGGAAAAATACAACAATAGTGTAAAATTAAGGAACGGTAATCTGGGAGGCTGAGTTTTTAACTAGCTGCCTAACTCTATCTCCAGCTAAACAACATGAAAAATCTAATATAGAGAATGTGATAATATGAAAAACAATGGTAATTATCCAGATATACTTTCCAAATCCTTCTCATTGGTAATAATGGTTTTTAGGTAAAGAGTATAAAATACAAAACTGTTAGTCATTGTACTGCCATAGCAAAGTGAAAGCTGTGGGGTTTTAGTCTCTTATTAAATATCTCCTGGAAGAGGGCTTCCCTGGTGGCGCAGTGGTTGAGAGTCCGCCTGCCGATGCAGGGGACACAGGTTCGTGCCCCGGTCCGGGAGGGTCCCGCGTGCCGTGGAGCGTCTGGGCCCGTGAGCCATGGCCGCTGAGCCTGCGCGTACGGAACCTGTGCTCCGCAACGGGAGAGACCACAACAGTGAGAGGCCCGTGTACCGCAAAAAAAAAAAAAAAAAAAAAAAAAATCTCCTGGAAGGGCCAAAGATGGTATACAGAGTTCTGATATTATTTTTCAAAGGTTGTCATAAATCAGTCTTACCTGCAGAATCTATAGGGAGTTAAACATTTTGGGATTAGACAGGAACAGCCTTCTTCTAATTTTCTTTCTTTTTTTGTGTGTGAATGTTCTGAGTATTTGTAAACAAATTGCAATATTTTGCCTTGTTTTCAATTATTAGGACAAACAGCACCTTTGAGATACTGACCTACTGTCAGTATTAGAGGTACGTTACATTGTGTGACCCAGTATAAATTAGACTGTGCCTCTTTTAATCTCCCTCTAAGCAAAGATATCTTGTTTTCCAGGTAGGTGATGGAATTTGAATGGAGGTGGATCAGGGTTTGGTATAGAGTTTGGTGTAGAGCTGTTGTTACCAAGGATACTCAGGTTTTCCTAGTTGGTGAAGTATAGCTACATGCATTCAATGGGCCTAAAACTAAAAGCAAGGTACACATTTCAAAAATGTGAAGTCAGTGAACAGATGAGATGAATGTTGCCTGATTTTCAGGACCCCTGTAGTATTCGTGACAAGAAACTACAGCTGGTTCAGTGTTTGCCTACCAAGGTGATGCCAGTTCATCTACAAACACCTGGAACATCTTTTCTGTGCATTATTCATGAAATAGTGCTCAAAAGGGATAACAGTGACACATAAGCCAACATATATTGGAACAGAGAGTGAAGCAAACTGGTGGTAAAAACATGACCTTCCTCCATAAGGTCAAATAGTTTTATTTTGATTAGACACTACAATACAGTATATATCCATTAAAAAAAGAAAACTCTATAGTGTATATAAATTATTCCTTCCATTCATCAGTTCTTTTCCATTACAGCTTTGGTACAATGTGATTTCAGTATATAATTTTTAAATACTTTTAGCATCACAAAGTCAACACAAAGTACAAAACTAATAATCCAAATTAGGGATATTATCATCTACACAGTGGTATTCAGTGGTAGGAGAAAATCTTACCTTGATGAATTCATGTCACTAGCTAAGCTAGAAAGGCATACCTAGCAGACATGACGGAAATATGCACCATTAACCAGCTAATGTGTGGATTAGTCTTTGTTTTTTTTTTTGTTTGTTTGTTTGTTTTGTTTTTTACAGAATACCAGCAGCAGTCATTTGGGTGTTGAGTGAATACTTAAGTCCTCAGTGAGTTTTCGCACCTTGCTCTTCCTCCCTTAAAGGCCATGAGTAGTATCTGAAGACATGTACCATGGCCAGAGTGCTCAGAACTTGACCTGCCACCCAGCATTGCTCATACTGGCACAGTTGGTCCTGCAGCTGGCTGACATCACGGGGACAGTGCTGGAGGGACAGTGAGCGCCCATCAGCCTAAGGTTGTTCTGAGGGGTCGGCGGTGTGACGTTACAGTACACAGGCATTCCAGTGGCTGGGAGGGACCCTTGGCCTGCCTGGTTAGGTAGCATGATTGGCTGTTGGTATGACTGCTGGGGCAGTCCTTGAGAACCCTGGGTCATTGGCACCTGTAGAAAGACACAAGACAGAAGCCTGTATGAAGAGGTTATTTTGGGGTGTCCCATGAGCTACAGTGGTGTCATCAAAAACAGTCATGCTTTTAGGTTGGAATCCCAGCTCTCCCTTTTATCAGCTGTTTCACGTTGGGCAAGTCACTTAACCTCTCTGATTCTCTCCTGAGTCCATCTGCATAATGTAACCTCCTTCAAAGTGCCCCTGAAAGGACTGCTGGGGTGTACAGCTCTTGGGACACATCTGGCTAGAAGTACATGCTCAGGAGATGTTAGTTCTGAGCCTCCTTCCTTCCTCTCTCCTGGCCCTCGAGGGACTGCCATCTGGACCTCCCACTCCGGATTTCTCTCTGTTTTGAAAAGCCATGCTCCCATTCCGGTTTTATGCAAAGTGGTCTGGAGCCATCGATAGTAAAAGGGGATTCTGTCCCAGGAACACCAGCTCACTCTCAACCTGCAGCTTTAGAGAACATCTCCTTTCCAGTTGGAGGTAGAAACTGATGCAGTGTGAACAAGGATTGTCAGGGCAGGAGGACCGAGGATAAGTTCTCCAGGGCCAGAAGTACCTGATGCAGCTAAATTTAATGATTAAAGTGTTTCACCAACCCTTCACTGCCCCCTGCCCCCTGCCAGGGTATTTCAGGATATACATTACAGAAGGGGGCATGACACTTTTTAAATACCCAGTGTGGGTTTAGTCTGGAAAATGCAGCTGTCAGGTGCAATAAATGCCCTTTAAATGAATCTTGAGATGCCATTTTAAAATCCCTTATAAGATAAATTTGTGGTGAAATGAAGTTTCTTTGAGTGTGACCAAAAACAAATGAAAATTTGCTGTGAGGACTTTCTCCCAGTAAGTACAATTTCAACAGAATGCCCGAAGGTCTTCATGAATAGAACTTTAAAGAATTTTCTTCCATGAATACAAAGTCTATATGGAATCACACTTAGCAGGGCATTCAAAAGCCACAGTAGTTACAGAAGTATACATTTCCCATTTTCTGCTTGTCTATTATAATCTTGACTCAAAATCAGCCGTCAGCACTGGCTGGGCCTAGCACCTACCACCCAGCCAACCAGCCGATGTGGGGACATACCCACAGCCTGTACTTAGGCAAGTTCTGCTTTATAAAACACAACTTTCCAAGTTACTGATATGCACCTGATAATTAGACACGGTTGGGTAGGAGAGCATCACGCTTTGCACTGGAGTTCCCTGGTGGCTGCTCATCATGCCCTGACTCTGAGGCGGCTGCTGTACCCCCATGAGGCCTTGGAACCCCTGTTGACCAGACAAGAGCGGCTGGTAACCTGTGAAGAAAGAACACCATTTGAACTGGTTGCACCAAGAAGAACAATGATGATATTGTACGGGATGAGAGCACTTCTTCACCAGGCAACCTGCAGACCTTTCAATCTCTGTATCAGGATTGTGTATTTCCTAATAACGCATGTTTTGCTTCTTAGGGCGGACAAGGGTATGACTCCAAAAAATTCACTGATACGTCCATCCTTAAGAGTGGTCCAATCAGCAGGTTGTGACAGTGGTAAATTCTTCATGGTGCAAAGACGGGAACCTGTACTGACATCGGTTGACTGCTGTAAATTAAACCTTTCAGATCTATCTTTTGCTTTGGTTTCAATGATACTTGGAGAAGTCACACATTATCAAGTTTTTTCCTAATTAATTTGATTCATTCTCTTACCCTCTCGCTTTTCTGCATCACCTCACTTCACACACAGATCACCAAACAGCCTGTTAACTTAGGATGCATTCTGTTTTCCATACCCTAGTGAACAAAATGACTCCCTACTCTACATAATTCAGCGTTCATTGACTTAGACAAAAGGTAACAACAGCAGGTGTGTCATGCTTTTATTCTGTGCCACCACTAGCTCCCAAGAAAACGTTCTGGCAAAACACTGCCATGAGGGATCATGTACATATCACAGATAATGCAGAGTACAACATGTAAAGAAGGTATGTGTTTATGACCTTCTGGATGGGTCAGTTGGTAGGTTTTCTTTTCCTTCTTTTTTAAGTGGACCAGGATTTATTCTAATTATCTTAATCCCTACTACAAGATGTGGTTTAAAATGCATTCTTAAATGAAGGCTGTGAACTGTTCTTACAAATATTGGGAAGAAAGTTGTAATGTAGGTGAAAATGACATGGTGATAGAGAAATAAAACAGATTTACTTCATGCTGTAAAATAAGGTCCTTCCAGAGCTCATACTATTAACTGTGCTGAGTGCCTGGAAATCAGTGGAACTGCTGTCTTAATACAATGCCCTGCGAGAAAGTCTTTACAATCCTAGATTTTCCTAACGCAGACACTGTTTTACAACCACATTTTAAAAATTGAAACAAAGGGTAAAAGATTCCTAATCAATCCACATTGTTTATAAATAGACCTTGTTTTGAGTGCATGTGAGAGTTTTAGCTGAGAAAGGGTAAAATTACATAAAGACTATAATGTAATTTAAAAATTTTTTTAAAGGGAATTCCTTTTATTTTTTTATTTTTATTTATTTTTGGCTGTGTTGGGTCTTCGTTTCTGCGCAAGGGCTTTCTCTAGTTGCGGCAAGTGGGGGCCACTCTTCATCGCGGTGCGCGGGCCTCTCACCATCGCGGCCTCTCTTGTTGCGGAGCACAAGGCTCCAGACACGCAGGCTCAGTAGTTGTGGCTCACGGGCCTAGCTTCTCCGCGGCATGTGGGATCTTCCCAGACCAGGGCTCGAACCCGTGTCCCCTGCATCGGCAGGCAGATTCTCAACCACTGCGCCACCAGGGAAGCCCTATAATGTAATTTTAAACAGACAGTACTTCGCTCTCCTTTGCTCTGGAAAAATGTGTTTTCACTCATCTTAGAAATACTGTGGAAACGTGTCTCGCAGATAGTCACTGAGTTAAAGTCTGTTCATCTAAGGAGATGGAGATAAGGTGTGGTCAGCTTGGAACACCTGAGAGAGCAAACTTGGGGATGAGCCGAGTTGGGAGGCCTGGAATTGTGCCTGCATTGATTGGTAAGTGGAGCAGGTGTGTAATCTGGAAAGTCATCCTTTGACCTCCTTTATGTGTCCCATTTTTTTCACGTTCACATTACTCTCCCTACTCCACTGTCATAATGGTTTTCCTTACTAGGGTATTCTACATTCTCGCAAAGACACCACATATTAAGAATGTAAGTAAGGGTCCTGACTACCTTTCCTCCAGTTACATTGTGTTGGGGTAACACAGTCAAAGCCTCCCTTACATACGCTTTGCGGCAGTTTATACAGTATGGAAAAATCATCAGGCTTGGGGGACAAGAAATGTGACTTAAGGCCATGTCATGGCCCTTACTTACCTCCCAGAATGCCTTATATGCAGGGAGAAATTAAACATTAATTGTAAAAAAACTGTTTTCTATGATTTCCCATTGTCTAGATCTACCACTCTTATTCATATACCCGTTGGCCCTAAAAAAATTCTGTTGCTCTTTTACTATTATTATGACGTTACTCCTAGCCACGTCAAATTCACTGTCATATGAATTGTTGTATATGTTAAAAAAATAACTTGGCATGACTATAGAAAATTTATGACCACAGCCTTCCTTACCATTTCCTAGTTCTACAACAAAGAGCAGTCAATGTGAACACACTTCCAAGTCTGTGTAATGGTGCCTTATTTCTGGCTGAAGATTCAAAGAACAGGTTGAAAATGAGAGAAATGTCTTCTAAAAGTCTGACTTATATTTGGTCTTCTGGTGAAAGCCCAGTTAGCCTCAATGGTCCTGTTGCAGAATACACACGGCTATTATGTAAACAAAAAGAGGAGAGGAAAGGAGGGGAGAGGGGAGGGCAGGAGAGGTCCAGTGGCCTTGCATCTAAAGATGATGTATTTGCTTATTGAATCGTTCCATCCTTTCACCGAGTCATCTTCAAAATGACTCTGTTTCACAGAGTCTGTTCAAAAATAAATTGAGGTGGCCTATGGAAGAGTCATTTATAACATCAGCTCTATAAACCAAAATTGGGGTGAAAGGAAAAATAAGTCTGATGATAACAGAGCTGTTAAGACATACAGAAAACAGAATGTCTTGGTAGAAAGGGGAAGCAACTGTCAAATAATATTCAAGGAGAGAAAAAGAGTGAGGTTGGGTGGCCTCGTCCCAGTAAAGGCGCACGGCCTGGGAGGGTGTGATTCATCTTTGCTGAGCACACAGATGCAGGGACACTGCGATGTCGCCCTCCCCAAGCCCCCTCTGCCTGATGATTTGTGAACTTTAATATTCAGTCATGCATAGCAATGGGCTACCAGCTGTGCACTGGGATTCCCACAGTAAACACACTTAAGGCAAATAAAGATTTATGTGGGGAGCGAATCATGCCATACAATTTCCAAATGAAAACTTAAGTGTAAGGAAAGCCCAAGCCCAATTTATATTCATGAACCCCATTCATTTCTCAATTCGCTCTCCAGGCAAGAAATGTACACCTGGAATGGTTTAATTGGAGGGCTCCATTCCTTTACATGATGCTACAGAAGGTAGGCAGCAGAATGGTCCTTGAGACAGGAGGCTATTTGGAATGTGAATCTGAGCTCCGGTCCAGGAATAGACAAATAGAAATGTGATAGCAGTGACCTAAGCACGAACTAACAGGGTCTACCGGGGACACAGCTCGCCTGAAGGCAGAGGTGGCAACGCTGGCTGGTGGCAACCTGCTTATCTCGTCTATTCAAATGAGAAATGTGTTCCAGTTTGTCAATTCTTAGCTGTGAAATGATCAGTTTTTCACATTTATTGAGGATTAGTCGATAGAATGCATCTGACAAAACAGAAATAGCAAAAGTAACTGCCCTGTAGGCTTGCTATGGTGATCATAAAGACATGAGCTATTGTTATTATTCCTTTTTCAGTTGAGATTAATTCAGTTTTCAAGTCACACGCATCATTTATTTTCTGAAGGTAAAAAGGTTAGGAAAGGACAAATGCCTCCTAGCAAATAAATGAGTACCCTCTACTAAGACGGAGGAGTTATAACATTTAAAATGTCTGGAGCTTACAAATCTGAAAATTTAATGTTGTTTTGACTAAAATACAGCAGTTATTGAATACTGTTTGTAGTCAGAGGATAATTCATTAATATTCTGTCAAGGAAACATTTCGCTGGATGTAGCATATTTATGAAGAATCAGAATGTTAATTGGGATTACAATTTAGGAATTATAAATTGCATGATTGTGACTGACATTATTTTAACTCTTATTTGAATACACTGTTACAGAGCCAACATTCTGGAAATGAATGAATGACAAAGCCGTAACCTGTATTTTGAGGGTTTTGATTCCCTGGTTGTTGTTGGTTATAAAGGTTGACGATGAGGAAGGGTGTAGTTAGGAGGGCAAATATCTACAGAGCAAAGTAATTGAGAAGCTAGACAGTTCTCATCACCTCCCCAAACCCACCCAAGCAGTGTAATTTTCCTGTTGGGTTTGTTAAGTATTCTTAATATGGTAGAATGCCTTTTCAAATGATTAAAGTTAATAATCTGCTTAACAGAAAATATGACTTATCTTGGATGAACCAACATACACACATTTCTCCAGGTTTCTAAGGAACCAGCTAGCTGATTCTGAATTCAAATTCTGTTCTTTGTACATGGTATTGAGATGGAATTACAGTAGTTCGGTTGTGGCATGGCTGGTGAGGACTATGAAAAAGAAAAAAAGTGCTTATCCAGGGCTGGCTTGTCCCTTTGCTGAATTTTTATAGTTCATGCATTGCACACACCACTGCCTAATATCTGCCCGGTTCGGTTTCTTGGTTTCCTATCAATTCCTCTAAACTTTCATCTTCTTTAAAGATTTTCCATTTTAAAGGAGCTAACAAGCTATATTTGTTGATCACTTACTCCGATCCAAGCAGTAAATTAAGCACTTTTACTTTATTGTCACAAGAATCCCGGGAGGCAGTCAGTGTTATTAAACTCCTTTTGCAAAAGAGACAACTGTGACTTAGATGTAGACATTGTCAGGGTCACACAGCTAGTAGGAGGGAACGCTAGAAATTAAGTTGTGGTTTTCTCACTTGGGCATCCCTGCTTTTACTCCCTAAATTGTAGTTACTATTTATTATACATTCTTCCAACTTTCATAGCTTAACGTAAATCCCCTTAGCATGGCAGGTACTCAATGGCTGTTCATTGCATTAATTGTTTTCTCAAGTAAGTAAAGAGGACAAGAGTTATGATCCATAGTCTGTTGAACAAGATCTTGCTGATATCAAAGGAAAAAAATCAAAGGTAAAGCATAATTGCCCGA